CACAACCCCATGGGCCTTCACGGCCTGGTACAGGGATAGCTTTACTTTTTTTTTTCACACATTTCCAGACAAGGTACGCACATCCATCTGAATTTGATTTAGGGAGACTCCATAGACATACTGCCGGAAGAAACCCCGAATTACGTAGCTGTGCAGAACCAGTACAGGCGCCCCTATTTATGCATACTGAGTACCTACTGACGCGCGGACTAAGGCATGAACTGTCTTCGCTCGCTCGAACGCTGGGATTGTCGGTTCGAATCCCACTCAAGGCATGAATATGTGTGTGTGTGCCTTTATTCTGTGTTTGTGCTGTTCTGTGTGTAGGACGGGCTGATCCCCCGTCCAAGGAGTTCTACCGACTGTGTAAGCGGTTTAGAAACTGAAAAATTAGCGAAGGTCCAACAGAGGACTCCGGAGGGAGGGAGGGAGGGAGGGACGGATGGACGGATGGATAGTGTGTCTAATTAAATTTCGAAAAAATGATAACGTAATAAATTATTTAGCGTCAAAAAGGCATCAACATTAAAGAAACGAGGCCTGATAATAGGAACCGCTCATATTTCTTAGGATTGGGCCTGTGTGTGGGCTCGTGCGAAGACGATGATAAATCTTCAAGATTTTGTTAAGATCTTTTCAGGTTGGTTATTTAACGACGCTGTCCGTATCTAGACCATACTGCGTCGGTGATTTGAGGATTAATGAATACGGTGTCTTGGTAGAATGAGTAACTGTCAGGAGAAACCGAAATACTGGAAGAACACATGCCACAGTGTCACTTTGTCCATCACAAACTCCACATAACTGACCTGGGATCGAAGCCGGACCGCTGCGGTACGATGTCGCCGACTGACAGCCCAAGCTATAGGCACGACCTCAGGCTTTATAAAAGGGAAGGAGCATACATGAATTTGTGACAATGCAATACGTTAAGGTAGAAAAAATAGAAAATTAAAGGAAAGGGGTTTGATACTATGGACTGGATTAATCTGGCTTAGGATAAGGCCAGTGTGGGGGATTCTTCTGAAGACGATAATGAACCTTCGGGTTTTATAAAATGCGAGAAATGTCTAGACTGGTAGACCAAAAGCTTCTGCTCCATGCAGTTAGTGCACACATCATTTCATTAACTTCATCATAAGCAGTCACTACTTCCACACTATTGTGGCATGTAGACCCGCTGCTAGGCAACGACAGCGAAATAAGCAACTATACAACAGCCGATGCTATGTAACGGCTCTGCAAACAAGAATGTTGCCAACAACAATTTCACCTCAACAAAGGAAAGGTATTTTCTATGCGATCCGTGCAGATATATTATAAACACGAAAAGCTTTTAGTTATGTTTGCGACGGTCAAGCATATGACCGTTGAAGTGAATAGACTGCTGTTATAGCAGGAGCTACTAATGACAGGGCATGATCTACTGTACTGCGCCTGGACTGACAGAGGCCTTGCATATGTGGTATAAACATACATTTAATAACATGTAAAATATAAATGTACATACTGACAACAGACTTATTACTGTTAAATGTGACTCTGGCAAACAAGACACGCGTCCTCTCGTCAGAGAGAGCGCCCCACATCTTTAAACCCGAAACTGTCTGATAGTAATAGAGATCTGATCCTAAGTCCCTGATGGGCGCTTTATTCCAAGACTGGCCGACTGGCCGACTGGCCGACTGGCCGACTGGCCAACTGACCGTCGGTTGTAAAATAACTCTGAACTTCAACATTGATTAATTCGCTCAGTTGGCTGGTGAGTGAGTCAGAGAACCACTGGGGTTCAGTCCTTGTGAGCTGTTGCTGTCAGAAGCTGGTACCTAAGACTAGGGACCGTTAGGGAACCCAGAGGAAGGGGAATCTTCGCCGTTGAAGCCGCTACCAAGCAACGGCTAGTGAAGAATATAACAGACTGAGACGACCTAGTGTGTCTCATTGTGATTTGTGAAGCGTGTAGAGGAGTGAGAGCAGAATCCTCACTTGTAGTTGCGAGTTGTAGAGTTCATTAAATCCGATTACCAATTCAAACCCCGTCTATAGTTACCAAAATCGTGACGCTACACATTCACGTGCATTCAAACAAATTCCGTTTAAACTGTGCGAGACAGTAAGACAGTCTAATAAGTGTTGCTGAGCCGCATTAACGAAAAACATTATCAACTCGAGGAAGTGCTCTTGTCTGTGGAGCATACGCGTGCCTTTACCCCTGAAGTTAAATTCAATTTCACATACCGCACTCGCCGGTACAAGCAAGAACTGAAACTTGGTACCCGACGTGGAGGTGTGCATTAGGTTAGATTTATTTAAGGCTCAATTGCAATTAGTCTCTTAGTTAATGTTTTGACATGCTGAGAATTTTCTGTGACGAAATTCGTATTACTTCACCAATCACAGGGGCAAGCAACCGAATACGTTTCTGAACTGAAAGTGTAACTCAAATAGTTTCATTTGATAATGCTGTACTCGCCGTACTTATCTGGGCGAAAATATGACGTCATACCTCAAAATGTGCGCACTTTGGTTTTTCGAAACAACGTCCGTTATCAAAACGCAACGTCGTTATAGAACTCAACTCAATATGGAAAAGATCCACCTTCACGTGCTATCCGACGTTGGTTAAAGCAGTCTGAAGAGACTGGTACTCTTCTACATGGTAAAGTTTCGTGAAATGCAGGAAGATACTGATCGAATCCAAGAAGCTTGGACATCTTACATGGCACGAAGGGCGCGAATGTTGAAGTTGTTTAGGATTCTTCAGTATTCATTTCACAGTATTAAAACTTTCTAAGTTACATTTTCATATTCCGTAAGCTGCTTTATTTTGTTGTTTGCGGTTGGAAAATTATGCCACGGAAATCTCGTATCGCGTGTGAACCCGATATTTCGTGATTAAAATGAACTGACCTTAATTAAAACAAATTAATTAACATCCAAATACTTTCTTTATGGTCGTCGTCCTCTCTTCTCACGCCGTCTCATCCACAGCAATATTATGACAGAATCACGAAAATGAGGAAACGGACCTAGTGGAGGGGTAGGCCCCCTCCAAAATTGAAAAAGACTTCAAGCAGAGGAGCCTGTAAAGTAGAAGTACCGGCCTCCCCAAAGAGAGTGAATGTGCGATGGCACGTTAGCAGGAAACCGCTCGAGACGAGCTGGTCTTAAAGAGGGAGCGGACGAGAAGAAAAAGGAACGGGGATGTACCGTTAGGCTGTTCGAGACGAATAACCTTTAGAAAGGAGCAGTGTGACGTGGATGGCGCAACAGGAAATAGGGGTCACGTCAACTCTGCGGTCTCGCTAGTGACGTCACATACTATCAATCCTTCCATCATTACGCAACGCTCGGTAAACACCCCCTCCCCGCGGTGACGTAACAGCATTGGAGCGCTGCCGCTGCTACGGTAACAGGCCAGTTAACACTCCGCCCCCCTCCCCGCGGTGACGTAACAGCACTTCCCACTGCGACGTAACACGGGACACCACTGTTGACAAAGGCAACAGAGAACGGTATAAAAAGCCGGCTGAGCAGTATGTGACGAGAGTATGTGATCAGGAGCGACACAGTGTGGATCGTGAAGTCGCCGAGCCAGTTTTAATCTAGCAGTCGCCGAGTCGGGTTGTATCGAGTGCATGGCACTGACTACAGGAGAAGTATTTGCGATACTGCCGATGGCAGTAGTTGGGAAATTATGTAGTTGTGAGAGCGAGTGTTCAATAAATTCACTATATCAAATAAGGCGTGAAGTTACTTGTCGCGTGTCACACACCCAAAACGTGACAGTATTATTATCTGACAATGCGAAAGTCCACGAAACTAAAAATTACAATCACACATTAAGTCGAACGAACACGCCCACTTGAGATGATGTGTACAACTAATCAAACATTGGTTTCCCCAGTGTGGGCCTGCTGATCTGGAAACCAACTGCCTGTTTGAAATCGGTGACGTTTCTTGGAAGTTGCGGTTGCGTTGCCGTTGCCAGTTTCTTCGTTGTGCCCTCGCCCTAAGAATCCTGGGAAGACACACTGCACGCCACACTCAAGCCTTGAGCGCGTTAAGGGGAGTATCATGGGCTGCATGGAGATTTTCCATCATAGATATAAGATTATTACGAAGAGTTCACATAACCTGTAAGATGAAACTACGCCACGTCTGAGAAAGAAGCCTTAACATGCGAGGGTTTGCAAGCAACCACTCACAGAAATGATGTTTGTCGCAGTGTTAGTAACATGAACTTTGTATGGGAACAACTGCAATGTCTTCACTGCTTTGTGACACTACAGTATGGCATTACAGTTTGTTGTGCAAGTTTCCGCAATGATTCAGTTTCTCACTATCAAGTCCTCTTTGTAACAACAGCCGACCGGAGAACACGGTTCAGTATGTTCACATTTCCTGTTTCCTCAACTGTTTCACAGACTTCAATATCATAGATTTTGCTTGCGCTGACATCCAGAACGGTGGCCGTAATCATTCTGGGTTGATGTAAAGGATTCTGTTTTGAGATAACACTCCACCAAGAACACAAGGCTGTCTACAGTGAACGCCGTGTTGATTACTGCGCAGTAGTCAAGATGGTGGCCGTGCTTGAACAGTGTAGTACCAAAGAGCAGCGTTGTTATGCGTTTTCTGTGGGTAAAAGGACTCAGTACAAAGAAACGTTTCCTGTTTACATTGGGAATTGTCTGCCGCGGAAAGCGGTTCACAACTGGATACAGGAATTCTCTCAAGGATGTTCGAAATTTGCAGATGACGCCCGATCAGGTGCGGAAGTGGCTGCGACAACGGTCAAAAGCGTTTCGACAAAGTGGTAAAGCAATGGGAGAAGTGTATCAATGTTCGTGGAGGATATGTCGAGAAATAAATGTTTTTTCCAGGTTCTAATATCACATGTTTTACGTTTTATATCCATTTGTGACCTATTTACTAACTCTCCCTCGCAAATAGAACAGAAATGAGCGCAAGATCATGAGGTGCGTAATGATACTCACAGTTGAGGACGTGCTCCTCCGCTGCGACCTGCTTGAAATGGCGGTGGAACTTCTTCTGACGGGACTTACTGGAACCAGGTTGCTGTTCGGGCGACGGGGGCCCTGCGGGTGTGACCAGAGGGTCAGTAGCAGGCTGGGGACGGGCCTGTGTCATCACCGGGACGCTGACACTCAGCTGCTTCAGCGCTTGCCTGAAAATTGGACAGGTTATTCTACACACAGTTTGTGTATGTTCCCTACAGACCATGCTACTGTCTGTTGTGGACAGCCGCCGTACACATTATTTTATTTACAATTTATTCGACGACCGTGACAGCAACACAGCGCCGAATGATTCGATTACAGTAAATAATGAACTGGAAATGATATGTAAGGAAGCGGCTGTGGCCTGATAGAAAATATTATCCTGGAATCTGCCTGGAGGAACTGAGGAAAATCATCAAAAGCCTGTGCCCGGGCCTTGATTCGAACGTGACACCTAATGAATGCACATCAAAGGCGTTGTTGCCTGAACCAACTCGATTTGCTTAAATTCCACCGTTGGCAGGCTAATCAAGTACACTATTATGCTAAATGGTTTGGTAGTGTCCCTCCCACCTCAGACGTTTGCACGGCCCTCAAGTTTTTTTATCGCTTAGTGAGGGGGTGGAGTCCAGTTGGGTCCACTCGGCACGGCGGCCACTGACTGGCCTATTATACGTGCCCCGGGTGATTATGATGGAGAGTTTGGTGGAATAAAGATTGGTAGGGGAAACCGAAGTACTCGGAGAAAACTCGCCCCAGCGCCACTCTGTCCACCATAAATCCCACTTGACAAGACGCCGGGATCGAACCCGGACCGCCGAGGTGGGAAGCCAGCGACTAACCGCTTGAGCTATGGCGCGGCCTTCGGCCCTTATGTTAGTAACACTGACTGTACGAAAATGAAACTTGCGGCATGGCTATGTGTATGTGCGTGTGTGTGCTGTGTGTGAGGGTTACTTTACAACCCTGTCAGTAGCTGGTCTAGGATGATGGTTGAATGATGAACTGCAAAGGATCTAAACGGATGACAGTTCTCCAGTCGAGGTACTATCTTAGTATAAGAACAGAGGGACTGAGAAAGAACACGATAAACCTGTCACGAAGGCCAGTGTCCTGAAGAGAATCGAACCGAGCACTTACCGAGTAGCAGTGAAGAGCGTTACTGCTACTGCTGCCCCAACCCATTCAACTTTGTGGCATGACGTTCACACCAAGTTTCATAAAAACCTGTCAAGAGGTTCAATGTTTATTATCGGATAAAGACAATATCGCCCCATGCAGGGGAAATGGGATAAACATAATTCGTTGTTGCTTTTCAAAATAAACTTAACTGATGCAGGAGTGCTGTAATGTAAACAACTGAAAAACACGTATATACCTTGCCGGGGGGTGGGGGGGGAGCACTTACAGTAATACGTCAGCAGGAACCGAAGGCCACAAGTTACCCTGGATTAACGGGTTCCACCGCACAGAACATCACAACTTCAGCTCAACCCGAGACTTCGCTGTCACCCAGCGCCGCTTAGCAGGATCCCGAGTAAATAATGGCTGGGCTTCCAGGCGCGTGAATGTTTCGACATTTCATCACCTGAGGAATGGAAATTTTTGTCTCCAATTTTGGTAGAAAATCAGACTACGCATGTTTTTCGCTTCCCCCACATTGTGTTGCACTGCCTCAAAGTAATTTCACGAGTTTACCTTACTTACACGCGTGAGGGGTGCCAAGCGGTTGCGTAGTTGGTTGAGGCACTACGCTACAAGTCGGAAGGTAGCGGGTTCGATTCCCGATGAGGTCACTGGTTTTTTTTTTCAATTGCCCTAATCCTTCCAGTCGCACTATGACCTTGGAGTCGACTCAGCCTCTAACAGATGTGAGTACCAGGAGTCTTCCTGGGAGGTTAAGGGTGGCCTGACGACGCGTAAGGCTGACAACCTCAGCGCCAACTGTGAGCTGACTGTCTAGAAAATGTGGAAACCTCGACATCTCAGAACCCTACCGGCTTCCATGGCCTGTTACAGGGATAGCTTCACCTCTTTTAGAAGCGTGACATTTCAGAATATGTTTTCTTTTATAAGTTTCATTTAAACAGCAACAGATCTCACCTTCCCGAGAACTGGTGCTGATGGACAACACATTTCAACGCGCAGGTTATGATCTGTGATACTCTGCTGATAAATGTAATCTTCCAAAAGTGGCTAACCTCAAGTGTAGCTACAACAGGTTTTCCTAAACAAGTCACGTGTTTTAAGATTAAAAGAAATTTCACGAGTGGAATTTGTTTCCTTGCGAAGCATAAGAAGTGTACGGAACTAAACCTTCACTCTAAGCTTTGGGAAAATAACCACACAGTATGCTGGTTATACATTTCTGCAAGCAACTGCCAAGCTTTTGAATATACAAACGTTATCGGCCGTCAGGCATACTGATTCATCGGCAAAATTCGCATGCGCCTCACAGCAAGCGGCGCACCGGCCGCCGTGAAGCGCAGAGCAGTGTCCCGGTCCACACACTAACTCCCCCCCCGTATTTGGCCTAGGTTTGATTAAACTTGTGGTACACGTGTTTGTATATTCTATGGGAATAATTTTTTTTTCAGACTGTAAATCACTTTTGCGCCGCTTCGTTCCATGGCTTACATTCACTCATGATCCACGTCCATTAATGATGATTCTTCAGTTGTTCCGATGTGCTGACGGATCTGCTTCTCGACCACGTTTCCCACGACCTTAAGCCGACATTCGAATCCTTCCATCCATTCGTACACTTCCGTCCGGGTTATACAGCTACCGAAATACAGAACTCTCATTCTTCCGTGCACTGACTTTGTTTCAGTTACATCGGACAATTTTAAAATACAAACAACAACAAAGATAAGAGTTGCGGCCTTCTAGGTCTAAATCATGCAACATCAAACGCAGTAAATAACTGACATCCGCGTTAAATAACTGACAAATTTTAAATACTGTCACGTGTATAGCAATTGCTAGGCAACGGCTCCGTAAACAAGTTCCCGCAGTACACACGCTTCAACGATAGAGAGGCTGCTTCATATGTGGTCCAAGCCGCGACTGTTTCCATGCAATGGTGTGGTAAACGCGCCTAAAACAATATGGGACAATAGAAGACGGTGATTTCCGTGGGGTCCGTGGAAAGTGGTTATACAGGAGGATTCAGCTGAGCATCATAGAGTGCAGAGTCGCGTTTCGAGACGCCAACCTGGGAGCAGAGGAACTGAATTGAGTTGGCAGTTGCAGAACAATGGCAAGAAAGGTGAAAAGATTTCATGTGTGATTTGCAGTGACAGTGACACTGTTATAAATCCGTTGCCAGGATACGACTAGTGAACACTGAGAATCCTAGTGCGTGTGTAACGGTGAACTGTAATGCGTATAGATCAACGATAGCGCTGTATTGCCTGTAGTCCCGAGCTGTGAATGTATAAAGTGTAGCCGACCACCGAGGTACAGATGCCAGGACTATCACTCGAGATGAGACCTTTTTTTTTTTTGCCACTGGGGTGGGACTAAGTCCCTTGTACTGCGGCCACTTCTGGCGTATTGTACCAGCCCCAGATGATAGGTGAGGGTGATTGTGGAGCAATTGGTGGAATGAAGATCGGCAGGAGAAACCTAAGTACTTGGAGAAAACCTGCCCCAGCGCCACTTTGTCCACCACAAATCCCACTTGACCAGACCCAGGATCGAACCCGGGGCGCCGCGGTGGGAAGCCAGCGACTAACTGCTTGAGCTGTGGCGCGGCCTGAGATGAGACCTTTGTCCCGGGGATACGGGTGTTTCGGATACAGGGATGGGAACACTCTTCGGGGTTAATGAATTTCGGGGTCTCCAGAACCAACACCATGTATTGCCGCTTTAAATTAAAATGCGTACAGTGATTATCAATCTTTACATTAGTCCTCCCTCAAGCTCGTCCTTACTCATTACTTATATTCATATTAATTCATTCCCAGCTCGCTGGCCATACACACTACTCGCTACCCTTCCTGTAAATCACTTCTCTGTTCCCTGTCTATAATCGAACGGTCCTTCGCCACTCTCTGTGACTGACTGACTGACTCTTTTCACTCACCCTCGGGTTGCTCCCAGCCACAAGTTCCCCAGTGGTCATTAATGGGGGGGGGGGGGAACAAGAGAGAGCCAAGGGTCAAGCCAGGCGCCAGTGCCACTTCTGTTTTCCGGGATGTCTATGTAAAACCTTCTCATATCTCCAAGGCACACGAGCAGGCAATTCAAGACCCCTTTTGGCAGGTCTCACGCAATGTCAATCATGGTTTTATCACTCAAAATACCTGCCTATCACGACGGAAAATAACACTAAGAGCAAACTGGAGAGGTTAATGACAATAGTGGCACCATAAGCCTAAGGAAGACTATGTTGAATTAAAACTAGAGGGTCACAGGATGGTACCTCGCCGTAGGAGCGCCTATCAGGGTGTGAAAACAATGCATAAACTGGTCATAACCACAATTAAATAATTTTCAGGGAGGGAAGTACGGTTACATAAGTGCAATAAATCCCATCATCCAATCAAAAACGTCTACAGACACTAATACACGTGACAATATTGTCGGTGTTAAGTAACAAGACATGGGATTTGGACTGGTGATTGAATTTATTGGACTCATAACAGTTTCGCTAGTTTACGCACTTCACACTTCGCTTCAGGACGCAGTCTTCGCCAGTCCGGGTCCCAATGCTGTAGATCCTTCGGCTTCCTTGTTCACGTCCTTGCTGGCTGGCGACTGTCGTGCGAATTGTGAAGGCAACAAGCAGAGGTCATACAAAACTATGATAACGAAAACGTTCGCGACATCGGAAAAGGCGAAGCCCGACACTCGACTCGGCAAGTGGAAGTTACACTATGGTAGACGGTCAGTCGGCCGGTCAGTCTTGGTGTGAAGCCCCTTCTGGGGCCCAAGGCCAGATCTTTGTTACTGTCAGACAGCTGCGGTCTTGTCAATATGGTGCACCCTCTCTGACGAGAGGACGGGTCTATCACTTGTCGCGGTCACAGTCAGCAGAACATGCCATCTGTATTTACAATGTTACTTGTCGGGATTTTACAGTCATTTATCAACAGCCCAGGGGTCTGTGAACTCTAGCAGCCATTTTGCTTCATGAGTTTTAATACAACTTTTGTGACGG